ACCCACATATATGAGCACTAGCTAACTCTATAGTGCACACCCACATATATGAGCACTAGCTAACCCTATAGTGCACACCCACATATATGAGTACTAGCTACGTAGCCCTATAGTGCACACCCACATATATGAACACTAGCTAACCCTAAAGTGCACACCCACATATATGAGCACTAGCAAACCGTATAATGCACACCCACATATATGAGCACTAGCTAACCCTATAGTGCACACCCACATATATGAGCACTAGCTAACCCTATATTGCACACCCACATATATGAGCACTAGCTAACCCTATAGTGCACACCCACATATATGAGCACTAGCTAACCATATACTGTACTGTACGATCTTCTATGAAATGTTCTTAAGTGTTAGCCGGTCAAGAAATAACCTGTTTTTGTGCAAGAAGTAAGTTCACTTAAGTATTGACACAAGCTTCTCATATGATTCTCTGTGGAGGGTGTGGAGTCTAGTCTCCTCATTAACACGAGAGTATACGAATATTTCCATTTACCCTCTTGTTCTCCCAAAATTGTATCTTCCATTGAAGTTTTCGGAAGAAAATTTTGTATAAGCCAACATTCTTACGCTTGCTACACTTCCCTCTCGTATTCTGCTCCTTGATTTAATCAACTTACATACCAACTTTATCGAGTTCCGTCTTGTTTGGGAGATAAAGTACGCGGAAGAACTAGATCGCGTCATTATACTTTCGAGTTTTGCAAAAAATATATAAATTCACAAAATTTGCACACCGGTTCGGTGTTGAGTAATCCAAGATCTCGCATTGATGGACGAACTTTATAAGTTCTCATATCATATTTCGAGCCATGAGTAAAGCGGGTTAGGATCTCCTAATGAAACTTCAGGTTCCGTAAGAGATGAACCATCTGACTATGTCTGAGAGAGCAGCAGCTTGTCAGGAACCTGTGCGCTCCGCGGAGTTGCGAGAGTTGCGGAGTTGTGGTTCTCACAGCCACGGGCTACGCCACTGTTCTGAATAGCGTAGCCGGAAAAAGGGCAAAGTGGCACGCGTTCGCAATTGACTCGCAGACAGATCGGTTTGGGCTGTACAGGTGTGTCACACTGAAACCAGAAAGGCGCGTGTACTGGGAAACTCCTGCCCATGAGGCTGTGTTCCCAATGTGGGCTCTTCTCTGGCTGAACTACACCAACGCCCTTCCTCCGTCCTCGTTATGTTCTGTTACTTGGAACAGTAGTGAATGGCTTTCAATCACTGAGTTCGTTCGAAAAGTTCTGTCTCCTGAGATAAAACGTCGTTTAGGCCGTTGAATGTAGCCGACGTTTCGGAGGAATATATCTCCATCTTGAAGGCAGAAGAATAAGCTAACAAAAACGAGTATGTAGCAGGTTGCAAGCCCCACTGAGAACCTCAAATGCTCTACAGTTCTTTCTTTCATTCATATGTTTAGTCCTGCTGAAATCACTGTGTAGGTAATGTAATTTGAAACACAGTTAACCCATGTAAGATATGAAGTTTTCACGGCCGTGAATGTGAAGAGTGCCGTCTTCTGGGATGTGGCGCCGTGTGGTTACAGACTGCAGCCACCTGCGCACGCTGGTTCCTCGCTCGCGGATTTTTCTACCCTGAAGATGGAGGCGATACGTCCCTTCGGAACGCCGGTTCCCACAACATCTACACGGCTCCACATACCAGAAGACGGCTTTGTTCACAGTTTACCCATCTTCGCTGTGCTTTCTATACGAAGTCCAGCTTCCTCGATGTTTCCAGACCACACTTCAGAGTTTTGTCTGTCTTTCCTAACCTCCTGAGGTATGTATACTCTCGCCGGCTGTCTCTGCGGGTCGCTACTGACTCGCAGCTTTCCCATTCTGCGCACCGTCACGCTACAAATGCAAATACTTCACTAATTCATAGTACAGGTGGGATAACGCAGTCGGTGTAGCAACGGACTGTGGGATGGACGGCTGGGATTCGATTTCCGACAGGAGCAAGCGATTTTTCTCTTCTACACGTACACAGTGTCTAGACCGGCTCTGGGGCACGCCCAGCCTTCTATCCAAAGGGTACTGGTGGCTCTTTCCCTGGGAGTAAAGAGGCCGGTTCGTGAATCTGACCACTCACCCCCATCTAATGCCGAGATCTAGAACGGTGGAGTTATACCTCCACTCCCTCACATATTTTCATGGTGTGGTGCTTAATTGATTAGTTTAGCTCAGAGATAACTTTGTCTTTATTAATCACAATGCATTTAAATTTTTATTTTCATATCTCTTCCATTTGTTTACAGTGACTGCCGTGTAAATATATATGCTTGAAGATGTGTCACATTTTATTAGCCCTTCAGCAGTCAAAAAGTCCGTTAATATACGAGTAACAGCCGGGACAGCGTAGTCGGTATAGCGACTGGCTACGGGCTGGAAGACAGAGGGATAGGAGTTCGAGTCCTGGTAGGGTCAAGACTTTCCTGTTCTCCACGTCGTCCAGACTGGCTCTGGGTTCCAACCAACCTCCTATCCAATGGGTAGCGAGGGCTATTTCTTCGGGGGTAAGGCGGCCGGAGCGTGAAGGTGACAAATCACCACCTAGTGGCTAGGTCAAGAAAATGTGGATCTATACAGCCACTCCCCCATACGCCTTAATGGTATAGTTGTTAACTAGTTAAGCACAGGGAAAATTTTACCTTTAAATATAAGATTATATAAGCTTATCACATTTTTGTTTTGATATTTTAAACAAGTTTACTAAATCCAAGTAAAGTGACAATCTTACTTTAGGGAAGTCATTCGATTGATTTAGGTTTGTGTTTCACGTAGGACTGCCTCAGAATCCCTTACTCGAGATTATGCGACATGACATCAAAGCCTCAAGGAGAAATGGACGGACAGATTCTACTCTCAACTTCCCGTAATGAATACCTAAAACAGATACGCTTTCACAAGGAGTTAGGTAGAAGGAAGTCGCCAGTTTTCCTTCATGCACGGAATTGCTCATCTGGATGTCGTTATAATCACATTAACAAGAAAAATAACCGAAATAATAGTTCGAATGGCGCTCAGACTGGCACTGTTACGCGCTGTCAGTTCACTAATCCACGAGAATGTTCTCGGACACTTTTCTGTAGAGATGGAACACAGCCAGTGAGTAACTGGACTGTCCAGCAGGTGTGCCGCCGACCAGCACAGTATCCAAATCACGCGCCTTGCTGTATCCTCCCACCACTGACCTGTTCTCTTGTTCACAGCTGTTTCAGTATCGTCTGTAATGGACCCACTGAATGGTGCGCTAAGTAGTTACGGAGATTAAATATGAAGACAAACAGATATGACTTCCTTGTTACGCGCCGATATGTGCACTGTGTGTAAAAACATGTGACCGCCTCTGTGTTCAAGTGGACAGAGTTCCTGGCTACAGATCCAGTGGTCCCGGGTTCGATTTCCGGCGCTACCAGATTTTCTGAGAAGTAGTGGTTCTGGAACTGGGTCCACTCAGCCTCGTGAGGATAATAGAGAAACTATTTAAAAAATAGCAGCTCCGGTCTATAAAACTGAAATTAACGCTCGTGGGGATCCGTTGCGTTGACCAAGTGACACCCTCTATCCGCAAAGTTGGCACTAACTTCGGAGACAAGCGGCGGTCGATCGGTCGGTATAGTTTGCTTGTGGACTACAGGCCACGGAGTGTAAAAACATGCACAAATGCCTCGAAAAAATTATGGCCTCCAAGAATAAATTACCTTTCAGAACACTCGCTTTCTATTCGCCGTTTTCTTGACATATCATTACCACTGGCAGCAGACAACAGTGAAATCGATTGAAGAAAGACCCGTTACATTTTTAAACGCAATACCACATGTCAGTGTGAGAGAAATTAATTTGTTTTAATGTGCTCTCGTCTGACGTACCGAAGTGTTTTTATAACATTCGCAAGCGGCGATTCTAACGGGATACACTGAGCACAGGCCTACTAGTTTCTGTTTCGTTATTCACTCTCTTCGGAAGCAATGGCTTACCTTTCTACTAGTCTGTAACACATACCCTGAGCAGGGAACCTCATGGATGAAAAGTCTTGTGTCTTTAGTCAGACTTCCAGTGTTGTGATTTTGGTTTCCGTTGTGTGCTGAAAATAGAATCGAGTAACTTTGTAATTACGCAACGCTCCACTTTGCTATCTGATTATGATGTACCGTCAAGAATGCACTAGACACAGTACACATCCTTGGTGTAAATTCTTCGTCTGAAAATTGATAGTAAACTTGGGTTCTCAACTCGAATATACATCACTGCGTTCCGAAGACTGCCATTAGACCTTATCTTCAGCTAATTGAACCCGTGCTGTAGCAGCACAAACAAGGCTGTGCTGTAGAATCAGATGACCGAGGAGGACCAGTCAGTGGTGCCTGCTCCACAGTCTATACACAGAGGAAGGTCTGAATTATGGTTGTGTTGCAGGAGCACCCATCTCTATTCACTTGCTACTGATGTGGAACGTGGCCCTGTCGCTAGCTCATGTTGGCTGGCTGCTCAAGGGTACAGTCTAATTTAGACCCCGTATTCGGGATATAATTTACGGGAAAATTAATTCAGTTCGTATAGTAACATTATCAAACCACTGTAGCAAATATTTAGTACAAACAGTATGTTTCTGGACATTATCCATCCTCTTGTCTCTATCTAAAAACCCTCCTCTTTATTTTTCAAAACAATGTTTCGGAGACTGGATTCTGCCTTCGTCTTCAGGTAAAACGTACTCAGTTGGGCTCAATAGAGAGCTAATCCCAATCTCCGGACACCTATGCCAGTTTCAAGAAGGGTACATAATTCAAACACAGCACATACCATCTGCGAGAGCCAAGAAAACATTCAGTTATTGAAACTCCACACGTAGCAAAGATTTAGGTTTCACAATACCTTACGCTTTGTGTTGGAGGAACTCTGAAAGGTTATTATATACAGCTGAAGGTGAAGTCAGGCCTTCTGTACCAAACAATCAAGGTGCGCATTTATGTCAGTAGGCTCTGCAGCCGGCAGCAGGACGTGCAGATTCCCGGGCGCTCCCGCTCACTCGTCGGTGGTTTTCTCTGATGACTCGCTGGGGCCAGAGACTGTGGCCACTTACTCCTGTGAACGAGGCTTCGAGCTCCTTGGACCGGCGCGCCGAGTGTGTGGACGTGACGGTCAGTGGACACCCGAGGGCATTCCGTTCTGTGGTGAGTCTTGTTACGATTACTACTACCCACTGTTTCTTGCAGGATTTTCTCTACAGTCACACCAACCCTACGTAGCTCATTGTCCACTGTCCCAGGTAGATCTGATGTAAGACAGGTTAGGGGGAATCGGACCACAAAAAAGAAAAAAGGAGTCGGCTAGTACGTCATACTCAGTGGTTGAAAGGTTATCCCCATGCATTGTTTGTAAGGCCGGCCCTTTCCCAACAATATATATGTTTAGTCTATTTTCCGTATTTTGAAAAAATGAAAGGATACTTGTGAGATAACGTGCTGTCTGTCTTTTCCTTCCCTTCTATCGCTGCTAGCAAAAGCCTGGTTGCTGGGCAACTAATGCACATGCAACAATACAAGAGCCGTTTTTCGCGTTGTTTTCTGTGCGGCCCGTGTCATATCGAAGTACTTGTCAGAATTTCTTGTTTCTATTGTAATTGCATCCCAACCTGAAATGCTGCACCTTATTATGTAAACACTGTACATTTTTCGATTCACCCGAAAGCCAGTGGGTGAACAGGGCCACCAATATATCATATAGCTGAACAATTGCTGTTGCCAGAAATAAATACGGTTTGGAAACTTTCTGATTTCGTGGTATTGCCCTGAGGAATTGCAGGCATGTTCGTGGTGCTCTGAGAAGCTCTGCTGCGAGTCTAAAGTTTGTGCCTTCCCGGAAGGAGTTTGTAGCTTTATTCACGTCTTCGGCCTTTCAAACTGCTCCACTGCATTGAAGCAAAGCATGTCTGCTATTGGGGATTTCATTTAAAGAACCAAACTTCATTAAAAAATTAAGTTTTAAAATCCCTCAGAGCGTGTCTGTTCACCATACCCTGTTCACTAACATGCTACACCGGCTGGTGTCACTGAGTGTCCGCTAAGCAAGAACTTGGCGGTCAGAATACCTGAGTACGCTTTAAACTCACTAATAATAACAATAAACCGCAACTGAGTGTAGCATGTCTGCCTAAACTGCAATGTTAACATCTGTGAATGTTTAAAAACTTTACGTTTTAAGCTTACCCATTACTGCTACCCACTGTTACTACTACTACTACTACTACTACTACTACTACTACTACTACTACCGCCACCACTGCTACTGCTAATTATTTTTGTCATATAATTCAATTCTTATTTATTTATGTGCTAACAGCCCAAAGGCCAATTACAAAATGAACGTCAGTATAGAAAAGAAATAAAACAGACAAACAAAATACATAACAAGTAAATTTATATAATGTAATAATAATAATAATTCCATTAACACAAATCACAGTTATCATTGAGACGTGGAGAATGTAAAATATATGCATTTACAATTAATACAATTAGCATTTTAATGGCTGTAAAATAAAAAGTCTATACCGATATGTTGATTCGGATTTCCGGACGAATGAAGCACATTAGCCCATGAGCTACATAAGCAGGTCCAATCATTTTCCCTGTGTACACAAGTCATAACAACACACAGCACAAGGTCTGTGAGACTGGCAAGTCTGCAATAAGAAAGTAAACCAGAATGAATTAGCCCGGAACTCCTTATTCACATTTATTTATCATGGCGATCACATCACTTCCGGAATACGAGTCAGGTGCAAGCCAGCATTTTGTATACTGTTTCTTTGCAAGTTACGTGGATGACGTGAAGAGCTATATATACTGTGTGGCATGCAAAGCACATGCAACTGAGCGCACCAGTACAAAGGCGTTTTGTTACTTTCTTCTTTCTAAAGTTCATGGCAACTCCGGTAGTCGTATCGTTAGCATACCAGTCTCAATGTACTCTAAGGGCCTCGGTTCGGTACCAATCACCGCCACTGATGATAAAAATAAGAAAATAACAAGAAGATGTCAATGTATTGACAGCCAGTCTCCTAAAGGTGGGAGTAGCAGCAGTCTACGAAATGTAAATTCAACATGAGGCCTACCTGAGGTAATGGAGAGTACCCAACGTAATATTGGATTACTGAATCGGTCATTGTCATAAATTTTTAGAGAATTACGTCTCTTCAGCCATTCTGTCACGTTGACTTTCAAGAAAGTCTCTGTGCGGAGAATTCATTCCCACTTGGAAATATATTTTGTAGACAGCTGTTCCTCTTCACTGCTGCCACAGGTTTCGATACCTCACTGTACAGTTCATGGCAGAGCGGCTTAGACAGTGATTTATCGCTGATTATGCTGATAGCGCTGTTATCACGGGGATGCCTAACCTTACTAGTGGTTTGTATGGATGTGCAACTTGGTGTCTGACATTGAGGGAAGAACACAGACTGCAGGTGCTAGAGAACGGCGCTGAGAACAATATTTGGACCCAAGACAGATGGAAGCTTGAGAAACCTGCACAGTGAGGAGCTTCGTAACTTGTACTGCTCCGAATGTAATAAGAGTGATGAGTCAGGGAAGATGAAATGGGCAGGCCATGTAGCACTCGTGGCAATGCCAGAAGAAAAGAAACAATTAGAAAGATTTAGGTGGTAGTGGAAGAATAATATTGACATTGATCTTAGAGAAATAAAATGGGTTGGTATGGAATGGATTAATCTTGCTCGAGATAGGGACCGGTGTAGGGCTCTTGTGCACACTGTAATGAAACTTCGGTTTCTATAAATTGTTGGGAAATTCCTGAGTAGATGAGTGACTAGCGATTTCTGAAGGACTCGGCTCTGTGTAGTTAGTTAGTTAGTTAGTTAGTTAGTCATGCCTAACCATTTCGTCATCTGATGCCATATTTATTTCAGATGTTACCAATAAGAATCGATAACAGCATTACGCATTACTCTGAAACCGTCTGGTGGGTTACATGAGATAGCTGGAGCTAAGGCCGTGACATAACTCAGGCGGTTAGTCGCTGGCTTCCCACGGCGGTGTCTCCGGTTCGAGCCCGAGTTAGGTCATGTGGGACTTGTGGTGGACAAAGTGGCACTGGGGCAGGTTTTCTCCGAGTACTTCGGTTTCCCCTGCCAATTTTCATTCCACCAATTGCTCCACAATCACCCTTACCTACCATCTGGGGCTGGTACAATAGGCCAGAAGTGGCCGCAGTACCAAGTGGACTCAATCTCACCCCACTAAGAATAATCATAAAAAATAATACCTGGGCTGCGCTTATTTTTAGTGCCTGAAAACAACACAAGCCACACTAATTTCTTTTGTGAGGCGGCTGCGGTCTGAATTTCCGTCACGAAGTAAACTAAGGGATTCGAAGATTAATGTAGTTGGTATGTGTACTTGGTGGAAATTATGCATAGAAGTGGATCACAAATTTTTGTACGTGGGCCTCTCACTTTGTAGTTGTTACTCGCCTCACCATGTGGAATGAAAAGTCTGAAAAATAAAATAGGTGTCATGTTCTTCCCAGAGCCTTTCGTTATGGTGTAGAAAGTACATGAACACAGTCAGAAGGCAGTCATGTACATCCGGAATCTGGGTGTGTGGTTAGTTGAAAGCCAAGGTAGATGGAACAGCCGTGAATGAACGTGCGCCCACGGGTTAATGACGCACACTTGTAGGTCACCCCCACTGTATCAGAGACCTACTGACCCCATGTTCAGCCACAGCATTCTTTCGTGGGGGACCACTATGGTATGCCTATAAAGTACCAAGACACTCATTATGTTGGTGTGAAATTTGGTCTCTCACTCCAAGGGAAGAACAAGAACAAAATAAAAATAAGAGTAAGAGAAATACATAATGTGGAGCTTCTTAATTTGTACTCCGCGTAAAGCATTGTTTGGGCGATTGAATCAAAATTGTGAGGTACGCGGTAGCGTAGTTGGTTGAGGCACAATGCTACAAGCCTGAAGGATGCGGTTTCGAGTCCCGATGAAGTGGATTTTTTCAATGTACCTAATCCTTCCGGTCGTTCTATGGCCCTGGGGTCGACTCAGCCTCTGACAGAAATGACTGGGTGGTAAAGGGCGTCCGGCGCTTAAGGCTGACAATCTTACCACCATCTGTGAGCCGACTATCTAGAGGAAATGTGGGAGCCTCGACGTCTTATGGGTCTTCACGGCCTGTTACAGGTCTGGTACCTTCACAATATACACAGTGTGTCCAGGTTCTGTTAGGACTGTGTTCATTAAAAATACAAGACATGAATTATTTTCAAAATTTCACTCTTTTCATTCAAAATAATCTCCTTCTGAATCAATACATAGCTGGAATCGATTAAAAAATTTTCGAAAACAGTCACTGTACTCCTTTTGTGGAATCGCATTTACAACTGCGGTACGTTCCCTTTGGATGCCCTGGATGGTGTCGTGACGGTCTTCTGTCATCGCCAACTTAACTTTTGGGAACAACCAGAAATCTGCTGGAGCCAAATCTGGCGAATACGGAGGATGATAAAGGACTCCGATCCCTTTTCTGGCCAAAAAATTGCGCACGATCTTCTATTTGTGGGGCGAGGAATTGTCGTGGAGGAGCTACCAGGAACCTTGCTCTCGATATTCAGGTCGAATTCGAAGAATTCTCGCCCACAAACGATTGAGGACTCCGAGATAATAATCAGAATTCACAGTTTGACCTTCTGGCAGAAATTCCTTACGAATAATTCCTTTGGAATTGAGCACTTTCTTTGGTTTCGGCTGGCTTATTTGGGCTCAACCACGCTGCACTCTGCAGCTTTGAGAGAGGCTCATACTGAAAACACCATGTCTCGTCACCAGTAAAAATCGATTTTGTAAATTTTGTATCACTTTGGGACGACCGTAACATGTATTTGCAGTGTTCCACTCTGGCATGTTTTTCATCGCCTCACAGCGCGTGCGGTACAAACTGCGCACAGACCTTCCGTTCGCCCAAATCCTCGGTTAAAATTTGATGCACAGTACTTTTTGGCATTCCCAAAAGCTCCTCGATGAGTCTTGCAGAAACACATCTGTCTGATGCAAGGATTTCGGTCACTTTTTCCACATTTTCTTCAGTGCGACTTGTTCTCGGCTTTGATACATGTGGAGCGTCTTCAATGTCCTCCCTGCCGT